ATCCTCAATTGTCTCCTAATGCAGCCCTGTCCTAAATAGCCGGATCATAAATAGTCTGGCAGAAAAGTAATACACATCATGAGTCTGTTTTTGTTAACTATCCATACTCCATAAGTCCTGCAGTGGTGGAGTTACCTTCATAACTTTTTAGTTACACTGATGTGTGAGAAGATGCTAGTCAGTTAAAGTAGAGCTCCAGGCTCCCCCCAAAAAAATAAAAGTCAGCAGCTACAGTGAATGGGCTGCACTATTATTATTATTATTATACAGGATTTATATATTATTAATATTATTATACAGGATTTATATATTATTATTATACAGGATTTATATATTATTATTATTATACAGGATTTATATATTATTATTATTATTATACAGGATTTATATGGAGCCAACAGTTTGCTCAGCGCTTTACAATATAACGGGAGACAATACAGCAACAATACAGTTCAATACAAGAGGGATAGGAGGGGCCTGATCCTTGGAGCTTACAATCTAAGAGGGAGGGGCTAGTGGTATAAAAGGGTAGTAACTGTGGGGGATAGACTGGTTGGAAGAGTAGAAGATTCCATTATTAGCTGAGGGCAGGATAGGCTTCCCTGAAGAGAGGTTTTCAGAGATCGCCTAAAAGTAAGCAGAGTAGGCGATAGTCTGATAAATTGGGGTAGAGAGTTCCAGAGGATGGGGGAAGCTCTGGAAAAGTCCTGGAGACGAGCATGGGAGGAGGAGACAAGGGAGCTAGAGAGAAGGAGGTCTTGTGTGAGGAGCGGAGAGGACAGTTTGGGTGATATTTAGAGACAAGATCGGTGATGTAATTTGGGGCGGAGTTATAAATGGCTTTATACGTTATTGTTAATGTTTTGAATTTTATCCGTTGGGCAATGGGAATCCAGTGGAAAGATTGGCAGGGAGGGGTGGAGGACACTGAGTGGAGGCCATGAAGGGAATGGCAGAGAGGGGTGGAGGACACTGCGTGGAGACCAGTGGAGGGATTGGCAGAGAGGGGTGGAGGACACTGCGTGGAGACCAGTGGAGGGATTGGCAGAGAGGGGTGGAGGACACTGAGTGGAGGCCAGTGGAGGGATTGGCAGAGAGGGGTGGAGGACACTGAGTGGAGGCCAGTGGAGGGATTGGCAGAGAGGGGTGTCAGATACAGAACGGTTAGTAAGGTGGATGAGTCTGGCAGCAGCATTCTTGATAGACTGAAGAGAGGGTTGTCCTGCGATGAGGTCGGCCAATGAGGAGGGAGTTACAATAGTCAAGGCGAGATATAACAAGGGAGTGTTGCTTAGTGGTGCACTATGTGCGAGAGGCGGAATTGCGTAAAAATCACACAAATTTGTGAGCGGGAATGAGTTCCCACTACGCAAAGTGTGAGTAGGGCCCTCGGTTACACAAGGTCCAGCAGGCTAATAGAACAAATTCAACCTCCTGAGTGCAACATATTATCCTCATATTTAGTCTCTAACAAATCATAATGTCATTCTGTTCAATAATATGTTGTTGGTAAGACTTTTAATCACTTGCCCTCCAGAGGATTTACCTCCCTTCTTGACCAGCCCATTTTCAGCAATACAGTGCTGCGTTACTTTAACTAACAGTTGTGCGGTCATGCAACGTTGTGTCCAAATGAAATTTACATCCTTTTTTCACACTAATTGAGCTTTCTTTTGGTGGTATTTGAATGCCTGTGCGATTTTTACTTTTTGCGCTATAAACAAAGACCGACAATTTTGAGGAAAAAAAAACAATATTTTTGACTTTTTGCTATTAAACATGTACAGTAAAACATTTTTAAAAATGTCAAATTTCATCATAAATTTAGGCCAAAATGTATTTTGCTCCGTGTCTTTGCTAAAAAAAAATCCCAATACGTGTAAATTAATTAGTTTATGTGAAAGTTATACCATTTGCAAATGGCGGTATAGATACTGGATTTTATTTTGTTTTTGGTAATACTAGTAATGGCGGCGATTAGCAACTTATAGCGGGACTACGGCGGGCATTCTGTCATTGGGGAGGGAAATGACTTGATGTCACTGACATCCCCAGTGACACCAATGCAGTGATCAGTGCTAATAAAAATCACTGACACTGTACTAATGGCACTGTACTAACAGTGATCAAAGGGCTAACTGTGTGCTGTTTTACTGTGTGCTGTGTGTTGTTCACTGTGTCAGCACATTGCTTTGTATGGCTCTGCTACGCAGAGCCATACAAAGCAGTGTGCAGGAGCTTACAGGGGAGAGATCTGTGCGGTTTACATACAGGTCTCTCCCCCATCAGTGATACTTGGCAATTTCCAGGTGTCGGCGGGGAATCGCCAGCTGGAACCCAGTAATCGACAGCTGAGGCCGCCAGTGGCGCCTACCCAGCCACCTACCCGGAAATGCAAAAAAAAAATATATATATATATATATATACATACACGTGACTTTTCAGTATTTCTGCTATAGGACGGAGGGACAGCAGTTAAACCTTTTCAGATTATTATTTGTATTATTAATAATATTATTAGCATTATACGTATGTCTGTGGAAGCATTATAAAATACTTTGGCACACCTATCAACACATCCATCTCCCGCGTGCTGGCATGTCATCAGATCTGTGACACCCTCTCTTGGACAAAAAAATGCTGTTAAATTTTGGCAACCATAGCTCTCGTTTCCCAGTGAAATTATGAAGCAACGCTTAGAATCCTTTCTGGGAGTTGGTGGCTCAGATCAGATGAGACTTACTCTGCAAACAAATTGCGCAGAAACAAAGATTAGGTGAACCTTCCTAAATATTATCCAATCCCTTTGGTTTTATTGTTGTTTTTTGCCTTGTTTGTAATATATTTCCTCTTCATGTGTTTCTCTCTTCTTTTCAATAAAACAATATTTAAAAATCACTAAGTTCAATCTCTGAATGCTCTAATTATAAATCAAAAGAACTTTTGCCTCTATAGGGAGCTATCATATTATAAACTCTGTTACTTTCCTATCTGGGTGTGGCAGCAAGTGATAGAGACATTCATCTTAAGGGTCAGAATTGCAACAACATATGATGTTAATGGTTCCTTTCCAGGGGCAGACTGTAGGGGGCCCCATGAGATGCCCCTGGTACCTTTCATAGGCTTTTTTGGGTGTGGTTTGAATGTGGGTAAGGACACAGGTGCCCCATGATCCCCTATTGCCCGGGGGCCCCATTAGTTGTCAGTCCACCCCTGTTCCTTTCCCTTCACCACTTGACCTCCGGAAGGTTTTACCCCCTTCATGACCAGGGCGTTTTTTTGCTATTCAGCAATGTGCTACTTTAAAGCGGTAGTAAATGTACAAACAAAAAAAAAAATCCTGCAAAGTAAAGGCATAATGTGCTAGTATGCATTGTATACTAGCACATTATGAAAGACTTACCTGAGAACAAAGCCCTCCAGTGGCATGCTGTCATCACTGCAGAGGCTTCCATCTTTACCCGGTCTTCCTTCTGGGTTCCCAGCCTGCGGCCACTTGCATGGCCAATGATGTCAATTATTTTTTTGGAATTTTGGATTTCCATAAAGCTCCTGGGAGAAAGAAACCAAAGGCTGCCTCTGCCTTATATCTGCTTATATTGGTCCCCGACAGGGGCGGACTGACAACTCATGGGGCCCCCGGGCAATAGGGGGTCATGGCGCCCCTGTGTCCACACCCACACCCAAAAACGCTTATGAAAAAGCCAATGAAAAGGTACCAGGGGCATCTCATGGGGCCCCCTACTGACCCCGGGCCCTTGGGCAGTGCCCGAGTGCTCGCATGGTCAGTCTGCTCCTGGTCCCCGAGCACCCTTAGCTTGACTTGCATTTTTTTTTCCAATGAATACAAGGCATTCACTGGTTGGATGAGGCCAGGTGGTGATGTCAAAATCTCCACCTCATCCAGTCAGAGAACACCTATCAGTAAATAAAAGGAAATGCAGTGATTAATTGTCCCACTATCCTATTTGAACCCTATCGGTTAAACTCCGGCGCTCCCTGTTACTCTACCAGGGCCCCGAGTCAGAGCTGTAAGGGAGTCCTTCCTCTGCACTTCAGGTTCTACCACCAGGTACATTACAGCAGCCAAGCACCCAGTCAATGCTTCGACTAATCAGGAAGCCCACCGCAGGCAGCCTGGCAACAAACCTACCCCTGAATACACCAAGTCCATTACACATGCTGTCTATCAGGCGTATGCTTTCACTTGTATAATCTGTCCATCATAAAGACAAAACTCATCCAATATTCCAACAGTGGAATTCATTTATCGTCATCGATTTCTCAAGGGAGATTGTTGATAAATATTTCTGTCCGAAATACAGGAGCTTCTCCAACCCAGTCCGCATGAGGGCCACCATATTTCCTCTGACCGGTAACCTGTACAAGATTAATATCTTTCCATGCACTCCAAAAGGGAAGATTTATTGTCTTTATGCAGAGAATTAATCCAAGCCTCACTCTTAGCATTCATCACATTGTTGTCCATCATTAGAGAATGATCTGCTCTCTCCATGGGCCATAATCAGTGGGCAGAAGGCTAGACCCTTCATCTATGGGACAAAGGCAGTGTTTCTCAACTCCAGTCCTCATGGACCCCCAACAGGTCATGTTTTCAGGATTTCCATTATTTTGCACAGGTGATTTGATCAGTTTCACTGCCTTAGTAATTACCACAGCTGTTTCATCTGAGGGAAATCCTGAAAACATGACCTGTTGGGGGTCCATGAGGACTGGAGTTGAGAAACACTGGACTAAGGTAACCACTGTGGAATATCCCTCTTTCTGGAACATTATTGCAGCCTCCTTAGCATTCCTCGCACCATATAATTTATGCCGATTACATTTATGTTACTTAACCCCCCTGGCGGTATTCCCGAGTGTAGCTCGGGGTAAAGTTTCTGTACCAAAAGCGGTAACCCCGAGCTACACTCGGGAATACCATGCGGCGCTGCATAGGGAGTCCCTGCAGCGCTTACCTTGTCCTTCGCTCCCACGATGTGTCCCCTGCAGCGTCCCCGGCCATCTCCTCCGGCCGATGCTGGCATCCGGCTCCTGTGTTCCGGTCCCTGTGACGTCGGGACGTACGGGCGCCGCCGTTGGCGGGAAATTTGAAAATTTAAAAAAAATGTCATTTTTTTCAAAACGATTTTACATAGTAAAACATTGCTGTTTCAACCCATATCACATACATTTTGTCCCGAGTGCTTTGTCCTGTCCCCTGTCTGCATTTTTACTGTTCTTTCTGCCTGGAAACTGAGAAACGTCCATGGCGTCCAAAAAGTGTCCCTTTCGGTCAAAAGCGGTTTTAGATCAGCTAGGGATATTTAGAGATGAGCGAAGAAATGAAAAATTCGATTCGACTGATTCGGCGAATTCGTGGACAATATTCGATTCGAGTCGAATAAATTCGCTGTGAATTTAACTTAAAAAAGGGTGTTTCTAGGCTTCAGAGAGACTTAATATTAGTGCAGAACACTGTACCTTTAATTTAAATGCCCTTGGAGTCTGCTGGGGAAGAGAAATAATACTGTCAGTCAGTATGACATGCAGATGAGTGCCGTCGATCTTAGAATCACCGCACACTTCACTCATTTGGGCAGTCACGGGGCCAAAACCAGAGTGTGGAGCCACAGTGTGGCGGTGGAGGCAGCAGCAATGGGAGGCCATACAGCACCCTATGACAAAAATGGAAACCACCAGCAGTGTGAGGAGACCTGAAAGTGGCACATGGCAGAGTGTGGCGATAGAGACAGCAGCAATGGGAGGCCGTACAGGGACCCATGACACACTCTGGACCTGGCAGCAGCATGAGGAGGCGGTACAGGGGCCCATGACAGATTACGGGCCTGGCAGCAGCATGAGGAGTCGGTACAGGGGCCCATGGCAGATTACGGGCCTGGCAGCAGCAATGGGAGGCCGTACAGGGACCCATGACACACTCTGGACCTGGCAGCAGCATGGGGAGGCGGTACAGGGGCCCATGACAGATTACGGGCCTGGCAGCAGCATGAGGAGTCGGTACGGGGGCCCATGACACACTCTGGACCTGGCAGCAGCATGAGGAGGCGGTACAGGGGCGCATGACAGATTACGAGCCTGGCAGCAGCAACTTGGACAGGAGGACGTTCAGCTTCTGCACCGTCGGGTGCGTGCTCGCAAACTGTTGTCTCTTGGAAACGGATTCCAAGAAAGACTGCTGACGGAATCCGTGAAGAGGAGTAGCAGGAGAAGGAGCATCTGAACGAGCGGAATATGCCAACAAGCGACAACAGTGGCCCATGACAGATTACGGGCCTGGCAGCAGCATGAGGAGTCGGTACGGGGGCCCATGGCAGATTACGGGCCTGGCAGCAGCTATGGGAGGCCCGTAATCTGCCAGCACCCTATGACAAAAAATGGAACCCACCAGCAGTGTGAGGAGACCTGAAAGTGGCACATGGCAGAGTGTGGCGATGGAGACAGCAGCAATGGGAGGCCGTACAGGGACCCATGAGAGACTCTGGACCTGGCAGCAGCATGAGGAGGCGGTATAGGGGCCCATGGCAGATTAGGGGCCTGGCAGCAGCTATGGGAGGCCCGTAATCTGCCAGCACCCTATGACAAAAAATGGAACACACCAGCAGTGTGAGGAGACCTGAAAGTGGCACATGGCAGAGTGTGGCGATGGAGGCAGCAGCAATGGGAGGCCGTACAGGGACCCATGAGAGACTCTGGACTTGGCAGCAGCATGAGGAGGCGGTATAGGGGCCCATGGCAGATTAGGGGCCTGGCAGCAGCTATGGGAGGCCCGTAATCTGCCAGCACCCTATGACAAAAAATGGAACACACCAGCAGCAGTGTGAGGAGACCTGAAAGTGGCACATGTTTGGGGCATGATTCATGGCGGATTTAGTCAGTTGTGTCAGGAACTGGTGGTTTGAAATCCAGACTAATCCACGCCTGATTCATTTTCACAAACGTGAGTCTCTCCACACTTTGGGTGGACAGTCGTGTCCTCCGCGGAGTTGCAATACCTCCTGCCGCACTAAACACGCGCTCCGATGCCACGCTACTGGCCGGGCATGACAGCCTTTCAAGGGCAAATTCAGCTAGCTAGTTGGGGCCAAAGGTCAAGTTTCGTTGCCCAGTAGTCAAGGGGATTGTCTACCTCGGTTGGCAGGGTGCTGTCCAAGTAGGCCTAAGCCTGTTGTTTGAGGTCCTGCTCCAGGTCCACCTGATGCTGCTGCTGCTGCTGCGGCTGGTTAGTAGTTTCCTCACTGCGCTGGTGAAGAAAGCTACTCATCATCGACTGCAGACTGAGGCAGCCGCTGCTGGTGGAGCTGCCACTGCTCCTACCACCCCACCCCTCCCCTGCTGCCATGGCAGCGGAACACGAGCGCACAGGGCCCACAGTGTCTGAGGATGGACGTTGGCGCAGACAGGCAGAGACCAGCTGACTACATAGGTGTTTTTTATAGTACGTTATTTTGGCCTCCCTCTCAGCAGGTGTGAAAAAGGCCACCATTTTTGAACGGTAGCGAGGGTCCAACAAGGTGGACAGCCAAAAGTCATCCCTCTGTCTGATGGTTATTATTCGGCTGTCGCTACGCAAGCAACCGAGCATGCTATGGGCCATTTGTGCCAAGGAATGCGAGGGACTCCCTGCCTCCATCTCCACAGCATACTGCCACGGTGCGTCTAGGTCCTCTGTCTCCTCTTCCTCCTCCTCTACCAGATGCTCCTGCTCCTCCACTCCTGTCCGCTGAGTGGAAAAACCACCCATTTCACTCAATAATTCCTGAGCACCAATGTCCTCCTCTACCTCCTCCTCTTCTTCCAGTCCTGCCCCCACAGGGGCCATGTGGCGTTGAGATCTGTGCGCCACGTCTACCGCACCCTGACCAGCCATTGTTAACAGCATTTGTTCCAGGACGTGCAACAGAGGAATGACGTCGTTCATCCCATAGTCCTGCCGACTCACGAATAGCGTGGCCTCCTCAAAGGGCCTGAGCAAGCGCAGGTGTCACGCATGAGCTGCCAATGGCTGACATCTAAGTTACACAGGGAGTACCTTTATCTGCTTTTAACATCAGAAAATCTGTGATGGCCTTTTGCTGTTCGTAAAGGCGGTCTAACATATGTAGGGTTGAATTCCACCTTGTTGCAACGTCACAGCATGAGGAGTCGGTATAGGGGCCCATGGCAGATTAGGGGCCTGGCAGCAGTTATGGAGGGCCCATAATCTGCCAGCACCCTATGACAAAAAATGGAACACACCAGCAGTGTGAGGAGACCTGAAAGTGGCACATGGCAGAGTGTGGCGATGGAGACAGCAGCAATGGGAGGCCGTACAGGGACCCATGAGAGACTCTGGACCTGGCAGCAGCATGAGGAGGCGGTATATAGGGGCCTACGGCAGATTAGGGGCCTGGCAGCAGCTATAGGAGGCCCGTAATCTGCCAGCACCCTATGTCAAAAAATTCAACACACCAGCAGTGTGTGAGGAGACCTGAAAGTGGCACATGGCAGAGTGTGGCGATGGAGACAGCAGCAATGGGGGCCGTACAGGGACCCATGACAGACTCTGGACTTGGCAGCAGCATGAGGAGGCGGTATATAGGGGCTTATGGCAGATTAGGGGCCTGGCAGCAGCTATAGGAGGCCCGTAATCTGCCAGCACCCTATGTCAAAAAAAATTCAACACACCAGCAGTGTGAGGAGACCTGAAAGTGGCACATGGCAGAGTGTGGCGATGGAGACAGCAGCAATGGGAGGCCGTACAGGGACCCATGACAGACTCTGAACTTGGCAGCAGCATGAGGAGGCGGTATATAGGGGCCCATGGCAGATTAGGGGCCTGGCAGCAGCTATAGGAGGCCCGTAATCTGCCAGCACCCTATGTCAAAAAATTCAACACACCAGCAGTGTGTGAGGAGACCTGAAAAGTGGCACATGGCAGAGTGTGGCGATGGAGACAGCAGCAATGGGAGGCCGTACAGGGACCCATGACAGACTCTGGACTTGGCAGCAGCATGAGGAGGCGGTATATAGGGGCCCATGGCAGATTAGGGGCCTGGCAGCAGCTATGTGAGGCCCGTAATCTGCCTGCACCCTATGTCAAAAAAATTTAACACACCAGCAGTGTGAAGAGACCTGAAAGTGGCACATGGCAGCAGAGTGTGGCGATGGAGACAGCAGCAATGGGAGGCCGTACAGGGACCCATGACAGACTCTGGACTTGGCAGCAGCATGAGGAGGAGGCGGTATATAGGGGCCCATGGCAGATTAGGGGCCTGGCAGCAGCTATGGAGGCCCGTAATCTGCCAGCACCCTATGTCAAAAAATTAAACACACCAGCAGTGTGAAGAGACCTGAAAGTGGCACATGGCAGCAGAGTGTGGCGATGGAGACAGCAGCAATGGGAGGCCGTACAGGGACCCATGAGAGACTCTGGACTTGGCAGCAGCATGAGGAGGGCGGTATATAGGGGCCCATGGCAGATTAGGGGCCTGGCAGCAGCTATGTGAGGCCCGTAATCTGCCTGCACCCTATGTCAAAAAATTTAACACACCAGCAGTGTGAAGAGACCTGAAAGTGGCACATGGCAGCAGAGTGTGGCGATGGAGACAGCAGCAATGGGAGGCCGTACAGGGACCCATGACAGACTCTGGGACTTGGCAGCAGCATGAGGAGGCGGTATATAGGGGCCCATGGCAGATTAGGGGCCTGGCAGCAGCTATGTGAGGCCCGTAATCTGCCTGCACCCTATGTCAAAAAATTTAAACACACCAGCAGTGTGAAGAGACCTGAAAGTGGCACATGGCAGCAGAGTGTGGCGATGGAGACAGCAGCAATGGGAGGCCGTACAGGGACCATGAGAGACTCTGGACTTGGCAGCAGCATGAGGAGGCGGTATATAGGGGCCCATGGCAGATTAGGGGCCTGGCAGCAGCTATGGGAGGCCCGTAATCTGCCTGCACCCTATGTCAAAAAATTAAACACACCAGCAGTGTGAAGAGACCTGAAAGTGGCACATGGCAGCAGAGTGTGGCGATGGAGACAGCAGCAATGGGGAGGCCGTACAGGGACCCATGAGAGACTCTGGACTTGGCAGCAGCATGAGGAGGCGGTATATAGGGGCCATGGCAGATTAGGGGCCTGGCAGCAGCTATGTGAGGCCCGTAATCTGCCAGCACCCTATGTCAAAAAATTTAACACACCAGCAGTGTGAAGAGACCTGAAAGTGGCACATGGCAGCAGAGTGTGGCGATGGAGACAGCAGCAATGGGAGGCCGTACAGGGACCATGACAGACTCTGGACTTGGCAGCAGCATGAGGAGGCGGTATATAGGGGCCCCTGGCAGATT